CCAGCGTGATCATAACGAAGTCGGGATAGCATTTAGAAATGATACAGAATTTGAGGTTCTCACGGCGATGAATTTAAAGATGGGTTGTTGCGCCTTGTAGTCTGGTAGAACTTTAATAACTACAATCAGATCTCCAGTTTCAAGTATCTCCGTCATTCAGTGTAAACCTATTATCTCTATATAATCTAAACTTTAGATAATCTCCCTGATGATGGAATCAGGATGCACCTTCGAAACTTCGGTAAATGTCTACCATACTACAAGGCGCACTATTCCAGTATATAAGCACCTTTATGCTCATCGCCTTGAGAACCTGAAATCTCACCACCACTTAATAAATTCAAACGTAAAACGAGAATAAATAGCAAATGGAAAAATTCATTTTGACTAAATTAATTTTTATCAAGCTTTATTGCCCGAAATCTTATCATAGACTCGATTAGTCGATATATATCGTTAAATATCAAAGAAATCATGATTCATAAATCCAATATCTTCTAGATCAGTGGTATTCAACCTTTTTTTGTTCGCGTACCCCCAGATATAATTTCTCTTCAACTTTGTACCCCCAAAGTTGTTGGTGTATAATTCAAGTTATACGTAGTATATAATCTACATATAAAATAAATTAAATAAATTACATTACTGATTATTCAGTGTTTATCGTAAAATAATTTTTTTTTAAAAAATTCACGTACCCCCTAAATGTCTTCGCGTACCCCCGGGGGTACGCGTACCCCAGGTTGAATACCACTGTTCTATAAGATTCGAATCCAGGACAATTTTTCTGTTTTGTGACTTCAGTTCCTGTTATAATATTTATTATTATGTTTATTAAATCAATATTTCCCCGAATATGACGTATTTATTTCGAAACTTCCAAAAATTTGTTTCGTTTTGATCAGTTTCATGTAAAAAAATATCAATCATTGAACCGCTAGTTAAATAACGTAGTTAAGAACGGTGACCTGACAAGTTATATGAGACAGCACCTATCGCCAGAACGACCACGAACCACCTCTCTCACTGGCAAGACGTAATACTGACGTCATTTCCGGGCGAAGTGGCTCGTAGGCCAACTGCGTTCTGTAAAATGACATCATGCTCGCAACGTTGCCACATGTTACCTGCTTCTAATCAGCCTCGGGAGGCCAAGAGATGATACCTGTTGAGTAAATCACATAATCAAACTGTCACAAAGAAGATATTACTAGAGTAATCTGTGCTACGATCGAGAACGCGTCCAACAGAACAAGAAATCTCACAGAAACAACTGAATTCGTCTGGCCGCGGACAGATAATCCATGAGAAAACGAGGACATTTCCTGTTATTAGCGAATCAGCTGTAACACCGTTCGGTTGTGGCCGTACTGGACGAGTCAATATATTTGATCTATTCTGAAAATAATAGCTGATGTCCGTCATGCTTGAATACGAGAGTGCAGTTCGTTCGAAGTGAAAAACTGAGTTCAGACGGTGGCGAATCTGGTGGCAAGAAATGGAAGCGAGAGACGATGGTGGCGCCAATGATTCGGTCTTGCCCGTCTGCGTTCGGGCGAGAGTCTGGAATCAGGTGATCATTTTTGTTTTCGTGTTTGGTGGTTTTAAAGGAAATTTTATTAACGTTCTGCATCGATGCGATTTTAAAAGAAAATTCTGCATCAATTCGCATGAATTCTCAACACAAAAACGGTTGATTTCCATTAAGAATTTTCGGATCATATCAAGGTTTATATCTCAGCCCGTAGGCGTACTACTCTTGAGTTTTTCGTGGTTTTCCTCAGTCCCATCAGTCAAATGCATGTAAATTATGTAACGACCGCTTCCTTCCACATCCTTTCCAATTCATACCATCATTCGACGTGAAAAACTGAACTAATAGAAACTTATAAATTCTCCATTTGCAATCATGAAACTGTTGAAATTGGATGGCAGATAAAACGTAATTAACTTTCGAGGTCCATAAAAGGCGTAGAATGTCTTGCTACCTAAGGCCAGCAGCGCACACGATATCGAAATAAACAGAATCGAATCGAAGCGAGACAGGAGAAATGTCTGTCGATCTTTTTACCCTGAACTGATTCGTGCCAGAGAAGTCGATTCAGATCCAAGATGTATTGTTAGTTTATGTTTTTTGGACGTATTCAGTTGGCATTACTTGAATATTTAAAGATCTGTGTCATTTTCTTAAGACCCAGCGCACTGTAACACGAATCCAAGCGAATCGACACGGAACGAATTGCAGCATAATATATATCGATACATCGATATATATCGATTCGATACGTTACGTTGTAGATTACGAATTCGACCGATTTCGTAAAGAGATAATGTTGGAATAACAGTGGTCCTTAGGCTAGAATCAACATATGGCAAGGTTTCTACCCACACTTAACAACATAAACGTACATGAGTCAGTTGGATTCGAACCCACGTTTTAAGCGTCTGTGTTAATTTCATATGTTTGTGATCTATGTCAATACTAAATATTAGCAAATCACTCTTACACGAAACTAAACACAGACTTCACGTAGCAATCTCTACAGAAAATGACCTCTACGAAAGTGTCATATTTTTTTAAGGTCTATTATGACCACACACTATTTCCGCTCCTATTATAAATGGCGCTAGTGTCGATGTCTCGTCACGAATTCTCGCGTCCGCCAAGTTCTTATCTCTTAACCTAACCTAACTTTTTGGAAATTAAAACTTTTGAGGTTAGAAAGCAGACCAATCAATTTTTTTTGAATTTTACCAATCTGTTCATAGCGATTTCATAAGTTTCATGGGCCCCTTGTTAATTTTTGACTAATTATCCGAGCTCTTTGTTACCGGAATAGAAAATATCACATTATTTCTGCGATTTACAAGTACAACAAATCGATAGCTAAACATGTCCATATATCGATACAACTCACAAGTGCCAAAGGTTAAGCAAAGGCTTAATAAACCTTGCTGATGCGAGCCCCTTTTTAATAAACCGGCATCACACCCCTGGAAAGTAACTCGAGAAAATACTCTTTCGAGAAGGGATGGATATGACTTAGCACCCACCGCGTACAGAACGCCATCTTAAGACCCAAAACAATTGCAGACGTAGTGGGACGTTCAGTGAAGATTGTGCGAGCTGAAACTTGGCAAATTAAGTGAATCATAATTGATGCTAATTTGATGTTTTTTTGTTTTTTTTTGGAAATTGTGTGTTAAAGGAATGTGCGTTATCTGAATGATAACGAAAGAAAACTATGGTTGTCTTATAGGCTTTAGAATCGTGTAATTTGGTACAAGTTCGTCAACGTTTCAGAGGTCCTTCATCAGAGCGATGAATGAGCCCTGATAAATGGATGTGTTCCTTTTGTCTACTTAGAAAGACGTATTAAGTTGTACAAAATTTCAATCCAGAGACAGAAAACAGCTTCTCGGGACCCACAGGGAAGGATTTTTAAATAGAATAATAGCAACATACAACTCGTTATGATACGTTGATATTTTCAGGACAGCAAACTGCTGAAAACAAACTCTGTCCACTCTTGGCAGTCGCCTGATCTTACTCACTTTTTCCATACACGGATTGGACTCAGGACAACGAGAATTCAAAGCCCTGGGCTCATGTTAACTCCCAAAACGTCTTCCGTTTTCATACGACTCTTCATGTCAATTGTAATAGAATTAAACCGGGATTATTTAAATATATATTAGTGTATTACACTTTACGGATTAAATAAATAGTACCATATTAAAATACTGATGGCGTCTAGGTCTGTAACATTATATATTACAAAAAATTGAAACTTTCGGTTCTAATACCAGAAAGTTAGAGAGAATATGGCAGTCTTCTGGGTTGTAGCGCCGTGTAGTCTGATATAAGTTTACTAACGTTTCAGAGGTCCTTGCTGCCTCCATCATCAGGACGATGTATGATCACTCACAGCACTACAACCCAGAAGACAGCCATCTTCGAATTCTCAGCAAGAACAGAAGAAGTTTTTGTTTAACAGAAGCGACATCTCTCCTTTCCTCCATGTCATTAGCTTCTGATGGCACAGACTCCAACGTAAACCCTCCTCCAACACGGATTCGATTATAAGCGTGAGATAAATGCGAACAATTATTTGCCAAACGCGAAAAATTTGCTTATGTATTTGTGTAACCAACTTTGTTTGTTTTAATTGGTTTTATGGGAAAAGCGTAATATTCAGCTCAACTGTCATCCGGCAAATTTCTTATTCCCACGTCTTAGTCTCACAAAATACATGAAATCTGCTGTCTCAAGTCTTATTCACGTTGTTTCCGTCTTAACTTGCGTCTTCCAGCACTGAACTCTTTATAATATTACCCTTAGTACGTAAATCTAAAAGTGATAATGAAGTTAAGAAAAGTTGTGAGGTTATGACACCAGAGCGCAGCAGCAGTTGACCTAACATTCCGTTGATATTTAAAAGTATAACTTTCCGCTCATATTTTACACAGTGCTTGACTTTACAAGCCTACATTACAGAGTTTATTTATGAATAAACATCATTCTATCATATTTATGTTTTTTTCATTTTTCCACAGCCGAGTTTCCGCATCCTAACTGATCCCATACAATAATTAAGTATCCTCCTCGTTTAACGAGGGTTTGTAAAGCATACGTAATCTGCAATAAGATTATTATGCGAACGCAAGATAAATTTATAGTCTCCCTAAGTTCGCCAATCAGTCATGTATTTAATATAAATTGACTAATACCGACCAATGGTATTCGAATTTTCAAATCAGAAAAGGGACTTTCCAGGAAAGACAAAATGTACCACAGGTTTACGAGGAAACATCCCGCAAACCAGGAGTTCCAAACTCGTGACTCTCGAGAGAAATTCTAGAGCAGGCCCGAGGAGACATTTGAAATAATAAAACGTGTTTTAATCCTATCCCTGGCAACGGTACACAGTTTACGTATTAAACTTCATGTTGCCCGCAAAAAAAAAAAAAAGGATTGGCAAGCCTGTTCTAGCGTCACCTCTACTCTCGGGAGTTGTCGCAAAAATTTCGGTTTGTAAGTCAAATTCAGAATTCTTGTTTGTCTGATTAACAGAGCTGACGTTAAGTCCATAATCAATTATTACATTACAAAATTCGCCAGTCGTCGAGAGCATTATTCTTTACAATTAATGTTCGTAAGACTTTTTGATAATTTAACTTAATATTCAGTGTTAAATCCCATAACAATTTATGGCTCGTGTAAACAGCGCCTTCCTTATACGAGTACTTTTATAAATCACGGAGCTTCACAATCTCTCCGTCTTTCCAGTGTCTGGAATCCAGTCACCGGTCTAAATGGTTCTGCAAATACACCCGAGGAAGAAATGCTATTCACTAGCCAATTCTTTCGTTCGTCCTTGGACTCACCGCCCAAGCGAGAGCTGACAGCACGTACGAAAGCTGTATGAGGCGTACCAACCAACAGGCAATCGAATTCGCGCATGCGCACAGCGGAGTGGTTGGCTCTGTAAATTGATAAACAGTTCTGGTTAGGAGAAAGCATGGATAAGTACAAGGAAACAGAGTCGGTGTCTCCTAAACAGTGCTCGTGGACTTTCCTACGTACTTAACAAAAGGAACGGAACATAGAATCACCAGAATATCAAAGATCATCTACCTCAGATCGAGTCCGTGATGTGTCCAATGACGTCATCCGATTATGGGAGACAAGGTGACGAAGCTATGAACTACAGTAACTGATAGGTTGTATATTATAAAAAAACTCTGTGCATGGAGAGAGAGAGCGACGTTTCGACTGCGTATTTCGTCTCTTGCCATTTCGTCTTCTTTCATCCTTTCGGACAGCATTAAAATTTATAATATACGCAAATTCAAATATGCTCACGGTATTTTACAACATACAACATAATTAACTATTCATAAAGTAACTACTTCCGCGTATTGCAATCAATAGCACGATCAAACATAAATTTATAAGTGTGTACTCGTACACACGGACAAGGACGGACAAATATTACGTCGTTCGTCCGTTGCAGTTCTGACGTTGGCAAACCTGACAGTAAGAAAAAACAAATGAAGTTATGCTTTAGCCTATTATGAGTTTGGCAGGAATCAACCTTCAGAAGCCATGAAGATGTTTTAATTCAATTCACGAATGTTCTTAAATGTTGTAGAGATCTGTAAAGATAATACTGGAATCAATTGTATTAATGTTCAACACGAAAAAGGTTCATTGTCGCCAACTTTGACAAGTAATACAAGATTAGTTAACAGATCGTCGCTACGTGTCGCTGTGACATTAAACGAGGAGATGCCTTCACCCTTCCTAATCGCAAGGAACCAGCGCCGAGGACAGACACATAACCTATGTCGATGATAATTTCTTATCTGAGGTTTACGCTGATAGTCGTCGATCAAGTTTCATTCAAGAAATATCATGAAAATGGTTATATATTACTGATATAGTAAATCTGTAATTGATATTCAGGGCCGTACCTTTGTCGAGCAGCCAACAGCGTTTTAACCACATCTTGATGGAATAACAGCAGTCGGTATGCGAACGTTCGCGTTAAAAATAGACACCGAAACGTAGCTGAAGATTCCCTCCTTTCCTTTCGTAGCTCTGGTACGGAACTGTGAACAAAACGGGCATATAGATCAGCAAACTTGTACGTAAACCTTCAAAATGTTGTTTAACGGCGTTGTTTAAATTGCAGAGTAGGTAACTCCATGATGTAGAGACCTTAAAAACGAGTAGTCGCTTTGATATTCAAGAAATTTACTGCATTTTTTGGAACAAGAGTGTTCATTACCGTGTTCACAACAGTCCGTCATCAATCCCTGTCCTACGCCACACGAATTCAGTAGTTCAATTCCTCGTCAATTTTAATATTATCCTCCCTTCTATGCAGAGGTCTTCGGAGCGGTGTCCTACTCAGGCTTAAAAAAACAAAGAATTTCTCAAGATGGACGTATGAAATCAGTAATATTGGTGGTTTCATGTAATTTCTCGTTCAGGATAAAAATACTCTGCCAAGAATCCAGCCAAACTACTCTATAGCGAAAGTAATATATGACTAATTAGTAATATTTGTGTTATAAAATTCAATAAATTTTATTCTTATATAGATTTTTTAATTTTATTTCGGTATTTAATGTGCAAATATTACGTGTAAGGGTGGTAACAATGAAATACGCTTTTAAAGCAAATATTTTACATTTAAGTTTTGTTATTAAAAGTGTGAAGTATTTTAAAAAA